GTAACCAGTGACCTTATAGTTAAATCTAAGTAATCACAGATATAATATTGGTAAAATTTAAAATAATGGCTAGGGGGAGAAAAAAACAGAAGAACTACTGGTACGGTTTGGATCTGTCTCCACTCAAATCTCACTCACACTGAAATGTAATCCCTGGTGCTGGAGGTAGGGACTGGCGGGAGGTGACTGGATCATGGAGGTGGTCTCTAATGTTCAGCACCATGCCTCTAGTGCTGTTCTCCTAAGAGTTCTGAATAGATCTGCTTGTTTCAAAGTACACAGTGCATCCACCAACTCTCTCTTTCTCCTGCTCCTGCCATGTAAGACCCTTGCTCCTTCTTTGCCTGCCACGATGACTGTCAGTTTTCTGAGGCTTCCACATAAGCCTAGCAGATGCGAGCATCATGCTTCCTATACAGCCTGTGAACTGTGAGTCAATTAGACCTCTTTACTTTATAAATTACCCAGTCTCAGGTATTTCTTTAAGCAATGTGAGAACACACTAACACAACTGTAGAAAAGAAATCAAATCAATAAAACCAAGAATGTAAAGAAGGAGAGAGATCAAGGTCTCAACTTATTAATGGGAAGAATGAGGGCAAAAAGAGTCAGCTATAGATGGTTTCAGAATTTCCAAACCTGCAGGAGAGGAAAAAAAAGGTTATTATGACTAGGTTAAATTGTCCTATTAAGAGATAAACCCAATTTTGTACAAGGTAACCTTGTGACGGGACTGTTATATATTTTGACTGTGGTGGTATTCACAGCAATCTACATAAAGTTACTTATGACTAAACAGGCACAGGAATCGGTGCATGTAAAATTGGTGAAATCTGAATAAGGTCTATAGATTGTATCAATGTCAATTTCCTGAGTATAATATTGTACTATAGTTATGCAAGGTTTTACCATAGATGGAAACTGGGTGAATGTACACAGGATCTAGATCTACTCGCATTACTTTTTACAACTGTATATGAATCTATAATGATCTTTTTTTAAAAGTTTTTAAAAATGTAAAACAAACAAAAAAAAAGGACAAACTTCCAGGCCAGGCGCAGTGGCTCATACCCTGTAACCCCAGCACTTTAGGAGGCCAAGGCAGGTGGATCACTTGAGCCCAGAAGTTTGAGACCAGCCTGGGCAACATGGTGAAGCCTCATCACTACAAAAAAACATAAAAATTAGCCAGGTATGGTGGTATGTACCTGCAGTCCCAGCTACTTGGGAAGCTGAGGCAGGAGGATCACTTGAGTCCAAGAGATGGAGGTTGCAGTGAGCCAAAATTACACCACTGCACTCCAGTTGGGTGACAAAACAAGTCTCTGTCTCAAAAAAAAAAAAAACAGATAGACTTCCAAATTGGGAAGGGGGAAGATTTCAGGGAGAAATAAAAATCCAACTCAGTTATATGAATGTTTAGATGTTTATGAAAGGCAAGTAAAGCAAAATGGTGTAAAATGACTAAAAATAAACATATGAGTAAAAAAGATTTATCAAGTACACACAAGTACACACAAAAGTGACAGAGAGGCAAGAGTCATATAAGACAATGTAGACTCTCAGGCAAAAAGTCATTAAATAGGGCAAAAAAGATACTTTATGTTTTTTAAGATAAAATCCACTAAGAACAATTACACATATTATCTTTCAGGCTGAATTTAACCAAAATCATAATCACAGTAAATATCTAATATACCTTGCTTACTGATTTGTCAGCTTTGAGAAAACAACAATTGAGGATATAGTATCTTACAATAAATGCTTCAAATTAAATAACAGGGAAAGGACAGTTTATCAAAATAATGTTTTAGAAAAATGTCCAGAAATCTGGAAAAATAAATGTGTAATAGTATGCCATAGCAACTATTTTTAAAATCCAAATCTATGATAACAGAATGTGTACAAAGAGTATTTTAATAATCTTGGGATAGAAACCCAAAGGGCATAAAGGAAAACAACAGCAGAACTGGCAACATAAATAGTAAAGACTGTTATACAGCAAAAGCCCCAAGAAACATTAAAAAAATAGACTATGAGAAAATACTAGCAAATGGTGAACCAAATCATTAATAGCCACAATACGTAAAGAGTTATTACAAATCAATTAGAAAAGAGGAACATTTCAACAGAAACCTAAGCAAAGGATATGATCATGTAAGTAACAAAAGAATACAAATGACCAACAAACATACAGTCAACCCCATCAACAAGCAAAGAAATGCAATACAAAAACAGTAACAAAATAGCATTTTTCATCCACTAAATGACTGAATATAAAAAATAACCATTTCATCTTAGCAGGTCTCTCAAGTTTCTGCATGTCATATAAGTACAGGCACTGATGGCCTTATTTTTTATCTTCTCAATGGTGTTTATACAGCAGATAAAGAGATGTCTCCTGGTACGGAGGGCAGGTTTGTTCATCTTTCAGGACAATAAAGATAATGTCTCCCTCTCTGGCAAAAATCAGACAGGTTTATTTGCAGGCCACTATCAAAGATTCAAGTTTCCTAAACTAAGGATTCCTCTCCTGTAACACAACCTACTTCACATGCTAGTGTCACTGGGCTCTTGTTACATCAACCAGTGGAAATCAGGGTTCCAGCAAATCAGCACAAGATGATCATCTGGCTATCGTTACTGTGGTGCTTTGACTCTGAATCAGGAGTATCACATTTTCTGCCAGTTTCCATGAAACTGTTAGCTTGCAAGTAAGGTATGATCTCAGACCCTTGACAATTTTTGGCAACGTGATACAGTAAAAGCAGCATTTTAACAAATTGTATAAATTTACTCTTACCAACAACTTTTGAGGAGCACTTTTGCAGAATCTCTCAATTTAACACTTAGGTGTACCTCTGGCATAGCAATTTCATATCTAAGAAAATAAACTAACATGCAAATATGACAGTATACAGAATATAAACACAAAAACGACCTGCAGTTCTGTTTGTAATAAATTTGGAATAACCTAAATGCCAACAGGGGATTGGCTAAATAACTTTTGGGTTATTCCTACAATGAAATAACAAAAAGACTTACAAAAAAGACAAGATACTATTATATGCACTGCCACAGAAGGATGTTAATCAATTATTATTAAGTGGAGGCTATAGAAAATTATACATGTACACTGCCATCTATGAAACAAAGGTAGACTTACACATTTATTTTTAAAATCTGCAAGCAGTGGTAATCTTTATGGAACAAGGTTACTGGGTAGGTGGGCACACAGCACTTTCACTTCCTCCTTTGAGTATTTCTGTATTGCTTGATCTTTTTTAAAGAATGCCTACATTTATTTCATGATCTAATAAGGTTTTTAGGTGTCCATTACAACAACATCTTAAAATGTATATTTAGGATATCCAGTTGGGATGGTAAAATACAAATGGATATTTGGATGTCCGAACGGAACACTTCTACAGCCATTTATCTCTTAGATAACCATTTTTCTTTTAGAAACCAGGTACAGAACATCCTAAATCATAGCTGACTAGGAGACACACTACAGTTATATGATACAGTGCAAAGTCAAAAGGCATGCAGATATTTAATCAGGCTGCTTCTCTATGTAACTGCAAGAAGCAACTCTAGTGTCAAATTCTGAGTGAGCAACACAAGGGATTTATTTATTAACAGTTCATGATTCAACTGACCATGGAAAAAGAAAGCTAAAATAAATGAATCTCAATAACTGGCAAGAAACTTTTAAATGGGGGAGGGAGGCAAGAGGTAAAGAAAGGGAATCAACTTGCCTCCACTAAATGCGTTCATTTCAAAAATATTTAGTGATATCTACAATATGCCAGGCATCGTTCAAATCCCTAGGCATTAAAACACATTACAAACCTAGAGCAATAAGAGCATCACAGAAGCCAGGATCACCATAGGAAGCCAAAGAACACTGCACAACGGTTCAGAAAGTCCCAAGAATAGACGGGAATTTAGGACCTACGGTATTTATAGTACTGATCAGTAGCAAAAAATAGAATTCAACAAATGACGATGGAGTCACTAACAAAATATAAAGTTGAAGCCTTCCTATCTCACACTAAAATATAAATAAGATAATTAACAATACTACAAGAAAAAGGAGGTGGATATACAATTCATGCGGATAAAGGCCTTTTTAAAAGGACACTGAAGTTAGATCAGCGAAGTTAAGATAGAGAATGTTAACCACAGCAAAATTAAGATGAGACTAGTACAGTAAAGAAAGGGGCAGTTTTTGTTAACTGACCATATGTACCATTGCACAGAGTACTATTATTGCATTATTTTATCACAGTGTGAGTAAAGAAATTATCCATGTTACAATGAGCTGATTTCTCTGATTTTCAAGTCAGTAAGAGAAGGGAGGAGTTTGAAAATACAGAGTTCAGAAAAGCCAACATTTGGGACAGAAGTTAAAAAAAGTTAGTACTCAGAACAGAAGTGTAGAACTTTTAGAGTGCCTACTACAACATGATCCACATTTCCCCCAAGTACTTAATCTGATTAAGGATTATCAGAGCGTTCATGGCTCTGGATAAATCTCTACTCAACCAACAGGTACAATATGCAGTACAGGATAATGGAGGCAGGAAGTGAGCCTGAAAGAAAAAAAATGTATACCTATACCTGAACTTAAGAAACCACGGGGTGCACGCAAGAAGCAGAAAAGGCAACTTGTCTGCAAACAGACCAAAGCAATCAAAGATCCTGCACCTAGTGGTAGTGAGCCCTCTGGGGCACAAAGCCAGATGGGCATGCTGCCAACACAACTACCTGACCACAGGCTTATACCATCTTCACCTTCTACAACAGTTATTTGTATACTGTATTTCAATCTGTGAATGCATCTCGAAGCTTTGTAGTAATAATCACTAGGAAACCAAGGAAATCCAAAACCACCCGTCATAAATATGTTGGCAGGGAGGCCAAGTAGACGGTCATCCTCACACTGAAGGGGCACCCCTAAACCTAAAAACATTAACAAGGTTGTAGCTGGGCACCTTGTGGCAGTCCTGAAGAAGGAAAACATAGGCCTGGTTAGGCAAAAACCATCGGATGTCAGAAGGAAATCAAGGCAGCAGGCACGGGAATCACAAGCACAGGCGGGCATGTGGCCGACGCGTGGCTGCCGAGGCAGCACGGAGCGCGGGTGTGGGCGACCCGCAGTCCTCCGCGGTGTAAACAACCCAGAGCCGCGCACACTTCCGGACGATGCCTCACAGTCTGCGGGCAGAGTGTGGCGGAGAAGCAGCCAGAGGCGCGTCAGCAGTTCTCAGCGGCCTCAGCAAGCCCCGCAAGCGCGAAGCCGGGGCGCGAGGGCGCGGACAGGGAGGGGAGGGCAGCGGGGGCCTTTGCCAGGCGTCCAGATTCCCCAAAGCGCAGACTTGCGCCCTGGCTCGGCCCTGGCCCCGCCCCGAAAGAAAAAGGCAGAGACCCACGGGAGGGAGAAGTAAAGGAAGGGCCGTACCCTGCAGGGTCCGGGAGAGGCGCGCGCCGCGGGCTTCACCCGCGACCAGGCGGCGCGAAAAGGTCTGGACGTGGGGGCGGCTCCCCAACTCTCTGGCTGCGGCACAGCGGCGGCAAGCCCGGCCCGGCGCGACCCGGAAGGAAGACGCGGAAGGGGCCGGGGAGGCGGGACGGGGCCGACGTGGGGCGGGGCCTGGTGGCAGGTGGAGCGGAGCCGGGAAAAAAGCCTGGCGTTCCTTCCATGGGAGGTGTTCTGGGCCATAGGGACAGCCCCCTCCCGGGCCAGGGGCGGGAGCTTCCTGCTGGCTTCCCCACTCCATTGGTGGCCGTGTAAAGAGCCTAGATAACCGCAGCGGGCAGTGGCTGCATATCCTCTGCGGAATAATCCCCTCCAAGAACCGACTCGCCTTCTGTAGTTGTCCTGCTAGGACTTCTTCGGTCCAGACTTGGTGAAATCAGGCGATGTATAGGTAATACGAATGGTACGCATACTTAGAGGAAGAGTACAATATCCACTATATGCGCTCAAAAGGTATAATTCCTCTAGTTTACAAACTTCTGCCCTGCGTACAAATCCTGCCTACAGACCCATTTCCAACGTTCAGAAGCGTCTGACCATTACCTCTGATGAAGAAGGTCTGGTAGTCTCTCACTCATTTGATTTATTTTTGGTAAATTCAGTATGGCACTTTTTTAGTTTGCATCATATTTATCTTGTTACAAAACATCCACTAAGATGAAAAATATTATTTGCTGTCTAAATGTTCCTTATGAGGCAAAACCGTAAGGATATTTACTTATATATGAACAGAATCAATATACAATATGCAGTATATCTTGTATACAAAGAGAAACATTTTTATTTTCTTCAACTTTTAAAATTTTTTATTTTTATTCATGCATAATAGCTGTACATATTTTCATGGTACACATGATAATTCAATTCATTTCTGTAACCAAATCCACATAACTGAATTACTCATTCTCTTAAATATTTATCTTTTCTTTGTGCTAGGAACATTCAAATTATTCTCTTCTAGCTATTTTGACACGTACTATTGATTAACCTTAACCATAATCACCCTACTGATCTATGGAACACCGGTTCTTATTTCTTCTAAGTTTATGTTTGTGCCCATTAATCAACCTTTCTTTATCTCCCCTCACTCTCCCATGCCCCCTCCCAAATACTTCTCAGTCTCTGAGACCCACTTTCTGAGCTCCCACATATGAGTGAGAACATGCATTATTTGTCTTTCTGTGCTTGGCTCATTTCACTCATCATAATGACCTCCAGTTCTATCCATGTTGCTGCAGGTAACAGGATTTTGTGGAGAGTTTTACGGCAGAGTAATTTTCCATCGTGTACATGTACCACATTTTCTTTATCCATATATCTGTTGCATAGATACTTAGGTCAATTCTAAATCTTGGCTATTGTAAGTAGTGCTGCAATAAACATAGAAGTGCAGATATCTTTTCAATATATGTATTTCCTTGTTGGATCTATACCTAGTAGTGGAATTGCGGGATCATATAGTAGTTCTATTTTTAGCTTTTTGAAGAATCTTCACACAGTTTTTCACAGTGGCTCTGGTAATACGCATTCCCATCAACAGTGTACATGGATTCCCTTTTCTCCACATTCTCACCAGCATCTCTTGTTCCCCATTTGTTTGAAAAAAAAAAAAAAAAAAAAAGCCATACTCACTGGGGTGAGATATCTCATTGTTTTAATTTGCATTTAACTGATGATTAAGTGATACAGAGCATTTTTTCATATACCTGTTGGCCGTTTGTATGTCTTCTTTTGAGAAATGCCTGTTCAGATCTTTTGCTCATTTGTTAATTGGATTGTTTTTGTTTTTGCTTTCCTATTGAGTTGTTTGAGCTCCTTATATAAAATATTCTGGTTATTAATCCCTTGTTAAATAAATAATTTGCACGTATTTTCTCCCATTCTTTGGGTTTTCTCTTCACTTTATTGTTTCCTTTGCTATGCAGAAGTTTTTTAGCTTGATGTAATCCCATCTATTTTCACTTTTCTTGCCTATGTGTTTGAGATCTTAACCAAAAAGATAAGATCTTGCCCAGAGTTATGTCATGAAGTCTTTTCCCTATGCTTTCCTCTAGAAGCTTTCATAGTTTGGGGTCTTAAATTTAAGACTTTAATCCATTTTGAGTTGACTTTTCTATATGGTGAAAAATAAGGATCTAATTTTTCTGCACATGGACATACAGTTTTTCCCAACACTACTTATTGACAGACTGTCCTTTCTCCACTGTGTGTTCTTGGAACCTTTTATAAAAAAGCAATTGACCATAGCTGTGTGGGTTTATTTCTAGCCTCTATATTCTATTCCATTGGTTAATGTGTCTGTTTCTATGACGGTACCATGGTGTTTCAATTAGTATAGCTTTGTAGTATATTTTGAAATGAGGTATTGTGATGACTTCAGCTTTGTTCCTTTTGTTCAATATTGTTTTGTCTATCCAGAAATTTTTGTGGTTCCATACCAATTTCAGAATTTTTTTTCTATTTCTGTGAAGAACATAATATATTGTTAGGGGTTACATTGAATATGTAGATTGCTTTGAGTAGGTATGGACATTTTAACTATTCCTCCAATCCATAAACACAGAAGAATAGCTTTCCATTTTTTGTGTCTTCTTTAATTTCTTTCATCAAGGTTTTATAGTTTGAGTATACTCATCTTTCACCTTCTTGGTTAAATTTATTCCTAAGTATTTTATTTTAGGGTTTTTTTTTTGTACCCATTGTAAATGGAATTGTTTTCTTGATGTCTTTTTCAAATAGTTTGCTTTTGTAAATAGAATGCTACTGATTTTTGTATGTTGATTTTATATCCTGCAAACTTACTAAATTATTAGTTATAACAGTATTTTAGTAGAGTCTTTAGGGTTTTCTATGCATAAGATTATGTCATCTGCAAACTTCTTTACAATTTGGATGCCTGATTTTTTTTTCTTTTCTAGCTCTGGCTAGGACTGCCTAAGCTCTGGCTAGGACTGCCAGTACTATGTTGAATAGAAGTGAGAAAGTGGGCATTCTTGTCTTGTTCCAGTTCTCAGAAGAAAAGTATTCAACTTTTTTCTATTCAGTATATTAGCTGTTGTGGGCTTGTCATATATGGCCTTTATTGTATCAAAGTATATTCCTTTTATACCTAATTCATTGAGCTTTTATCAGAGAAAAATATTGAATTTTGTCAAATGTTTTTCTGCATCTATTGAAATGATCGAATTGGTTTTTGTCCTTCATTCTATTAAAGTGATGTTTTGCATTTATTAATTTGCTTTATGTTGAATCATTCTTGCATCTCTGCTGTGAATCCTACTTGACCATGGTTAATGATCTCTTTTGTTGAAGATTTTTGCATTTATATTCATCAGGGATATTGGCCTATAAGTTTTCTTTTTTTGTTGTGTCCTTGCATGATTTTGCTATTAGGGTAATTCTGGCCTCATAGAATGACCTTGGAAGTGTTTCCTCTCTTCAATTTTTTGGAAGAGTTTAAGAAGAATTAGAATTTGTTATTTAAATGTTTGGTAGAAGTAAAGCCATATGTCCTGGGCTTTTCTTTAATAGGAGACCTTTCATTACTAATTCAATCTTGTCACATGTTATTGATCCGTTCACATTTTCTGTAGCTTCATGATTCAGTATTGGTAGTTTGTATGTGTCCAGAAGTTTCTCTATTTCATCTGGGTTACCAAATTTTTGGCGAATCATTGTTCCTAACAGTTTCTTATGATATTTATATTCCTCTGGTATCAGTTGTGATGTCTCTTTTTTTAAAATCTCTGATTTTATTTATTTGGGTCATTTCTCATTTTTTCTTAGTCTGGCTAAAGGTTTGTTGATTTTGCTTATCTTTTCAAAAACTCCAATATGATGTTTTGAATGGGATCCTGGAAGAGAAAAAGGACATTAGTAGAAAAACTAGTGAAATGACGAGTAGAATTTATTTAATAATAATATACCAATCCAGGTTTCTTAGTGGTAATAAACGTACTATTGTAACATAAGCTCTTAACAATAAGGGGAAACTAAATTAGGGATATATGGGAACTCTGTATTGTCATTGCAACCTTCAATCATTTTGTATTTTGCATTTTTAGTCAATCTATTAATTGCAACTTTTCTGTAAATCAAAATCTATTATAAAATTAAAAGTAGATTAAAAAATAAATTAATGTAATAAGTAAATAAGACTGATCTGTTTACGGTTGCTGATGAGACTTCATTGAGTTGATAAGCGTCAACTCAATGCTCAAATTCAGTCTAATAGCAGTTTCTAATCCTAGATAACTTCCAAATAAGTTTTTAAGTATAAAATGTATTCAGAAAAGAACACAAAAGATGAGTGCTCATATCCTTGTATTCACCATTCATATAAAAAAGTAGATAATCACTAGTACTCAGAAACCTCCCACAGTCTCTCCTAAATCTCTTCCCCTTACTCCTGCCCAAAGGTTACCATTGTCCTGAATTCTAATGCCAGAGATTAATTTTCCTAAGTTTTGACCTTTAGGTAGATGGGATCATATATTACACACTCTTTTGAGTCTGGCTTTTTTCTCACAACATTAGCTTTGTGAGGGTTATTCATGTTGTCAAGTGTAGTGAGAGTTTCTTGAGTTTTTATTATATAAATATACACAAGAATTTATTTATTCTATTCTTGATAGACACTGAACTGATTTTTGTTTTGATTATTATAAGCAATGCTGATATTAACATTCTTGTTCTTATCTTTTGGGTGCATATCTGTTGCATTTCCCTCCATACATTTTAATCTCTTCAATGTTTAAGAGATGTGGAAGTTGGTGCTATTATTTGTTTAGTTTTTTTGTTTAGCTTTGTTTGTAATGGTACTTTAAGTACTGCTTAGAAATATATAAGTTCTTATTTAAAGAAGATAAAAGCCTAAGGGAATGTTTTATTTCGGTGACCAGATGGAATTTTGGTCATCATTGCTCAATCTATCCTTCCGCCAACCTTCACATATCAAGGGCCATGCTTTGTTTCCTGGGCAGGAGAGCCAAGTGAGGCAAAAAAAAAAAAAAAAAAAAAAGACGATGGTTATCAGTTAGTGATGGCCCTGATTTAATGGGTGAACTAATGCCTAGTTATTAAATGGAATGTTGTTTGGAAATGAATAGCATCCCACGCTGTAACAGCACTATTACAAATAAAGAAAGTCCCAACAAGGCTTAATTGTCCATAAAGTCACCAACTCAGCAAGCTGGTTATGATCTATTCTATGTGAGCTTCAAAAGTTGCAATGTTCTACTCAGATGGGGAGGCGGGAAAAAAAGCAGCAGGTTCAAAACTCTTCTTTGTCCCTAACTCTTGAAACACTCACCATCATACTCTTTATTATTTTCAAGTAATTTTTCTTTATCTTAAAATGAAATATCTACCAATTGTTAACTTTCAGGACTATAAGTATGCATGCAAAGTCAGAGGGTAGAGAATCAGAACTCTGCAGAGGGCCAAAAATGTCTTCACCATAAGTTCCCTTTGGTTTTCTATCATTGGTTTCTAAGAAAGTTCATCTCTCAAATGAAGACTTCTCAGAGAAATGCAACTCCATACATTTTCTACATAACTCAGCTAAAATAACTTACTCTCCTGTGAAATCTTAGGTTAACTAGTTTGTTAGAAAGTAGAGTTCAGTCAATAATATTAGTTCAAGATTTTTAATATCCCAGTGGCCAAAGACCATGAGTAGTAGCCAGTAGGAGTAATTTTGGAGTCTACTTTTCTTTAACCTCTTATATTCCATAAAAAGGCTTCACTTAATATTAACCTACCACAATATTAATCTAGAAACAGTCACAGTTATTAAGAAAGAAACTAGAATTTTATTTTATTTATTTATTTATTTTGAGATAAAAGCTTGCTCTGTTGCCCAGGCTGGAGTGCAATGGCATGATCTTGGCTTACTGCAACCTCTGCCCCTCAGGTTCAAGCAATTCTCCTGTCTCAGCCTCCCAAGTAACTGGGATTACAGGCATGCACCATCACGCCCAACTAATTTTTTGTATTTTTCGTAGAGACAGGGTTTCACCATGTGGCCCGGCTGGTCTTGAACTCCTGACCTCAAGTGACCCACCCACCTCAGCCTCCCAAAGTGCTGGGATTATAGGCATGAGCCCCTCTGCCCAGCCTATTTATTTATTTTTGAGATAGTCTTGCTCTGTCAACCAGGCTGGAGGCAGTGGCAGGATCTCAGTTCACTGCAGCCTCTGCCTTCTGGTTTCAAACGATTCTCATGCCTCAGCCTCCCGAGTAGCTGGGATTACAGGTGTGCACTACCACACTTTGCTAAGTTTTGTATTTTCAGCAGAGACGGGTTTCACCATGTTGGCCAGGCAGGTCTGAAACTCCTGGCCTCAAGTAATCTCCCTGCCTCAACCTTCCAAAGGGATGGGATTACAGGTGTGAGCCACCACACCTAGCCTGAAAACTAGAATTTTAAATAAGAAGCCCAAATCTATGGAGTCCAAATGCTCTTTCATAGATGAGGAAACTGAAGTTTAGAGAGACAAAATGAACTCCCCAAATCAGAGTGGCAGAGCTGTCAACGAAACCTAGCTCTATGACTTTAAATCCAGAAATTTGGGTTTTTTTAATGGTAGCATATTTCTTTACAATTCAATAAACTTAACTAAATGTGCTGCCATATTACCATAACCTTGAAGTAGCTGAATATAATAGAAGGAAGAAATGAACTTGGAAGTAGGAAGACCTGCTATCCAGCTCTGCCATTTTAGTAGTTCTGTGATCCTAGGTAAGTTGCAACTTCTGAGTTTTCTCACTTTTATGAAATGTTTCTAACTCACAAGGTACTGGAGAGATTTAAAAGAGATCACATATATGAAAGTACTTTGTGAGCTATAAGGTAGCATGCAAATGTGTGAATTTTATTAATATTTATTAAATCATGTGAAAGATCAGTAATTGAGCCTTTCCAACACAAAATGTCAGAATAGAACCTTCAAGTTCATTGTAGTCTAACCCTTTTAACTGTCACCAGAAGAAAGAAAAGCCTAGAAAGACTGGATGACTTACCCAAAGATTTGTGACAAGTTGCATCCAAAGCAAAGACTTGAATGTAGGTCTCTTAACTTGCAGCTTCCAGTGAACAATTTCTAATATCCTGAATAAGTGAATACCAATTACAAGATCATTTAAAACAATATGATAAAACTTAAAACTGAAATTACAGAGGCCTACAAGCAATATCTTGAAATATATTTTAAAAATAAAAGCCTCTCTAACTTGTTCTATTTGTGCTGTTTTGATTTGACTTGTCCCCCTTTTTCTGTAGGTGGGTTATATACTTAAAAACTTAGCATTAATCAAGATTGTCAATGGTCAGGAATAATGCAGGGGAAATACTACCTGGAGACAAAGGACCAAGGAGCCCTCTTCCTGAGGTAACTTTACACCTACCAACAGCTAGGAAAATGAAGCTCATGGCTAGGGCCTTTGGTAAGCTCAACTGAGGCCAGAATTCCTTTCCTTCCTACTTTCCTCCTTCCGAAAGAGCTCCCATGTATCTGTATTAGGCAGGTCCCTGTGGTCTATTCATACAGTGACATGGTGATCTATAGAAAAAAAAGACTTTTTCTGTCCTTATAGGTAACTCAAAAGTGACAAGTGATTATCTGAGACTTTCAATATGAATGTTCCATATAATTCAAGGTCTTCAACTTGTTGCAATCATTTTGTCCTCCGTGGAAGATTTGAGGGGACTAGATTAGCCAGATAAACTCTGTGTTCACGCATTTACACATGCCCTTGCACAACTGTTAATGTTCCTTCCCCATATAAACACAACCTATGAATTTAAAAAAAAAAAAGAAGATAATGCTTTCCTGGATTACCCATCTCCTTTGAAACATACAAAAGTATATCCTGTTTTTGTTATTGAGCCATATTTTTATTGCCCCTTATACTTAATATAAGTAATATAATTTATATAGTAAATACAAATGTGAAGTATTTGGATCGAGTATAAAATTAACACCAACACAAAAGTATGCCAAATTGCAGGGTCTTTATTGCCGGCGACCACGGAGGACTCACGTCTCTCCAACCCGTGGCCCCGAAAGGAGGGTGACAAGACCCTTTTATACCCATAAACCACCTCCAGGGTGAGGGTGTGGGGTGGGGGTGAAGGGATTTAGACATTCTGAGGGCCAGGGGATTCCGTAAATCACCTCCTGGGCAGAGAGGAGGGTGCCGGTCTCAGGACATTCCAAGGGCTAGGGGGCTTGTTGTCACTTCGATTGTTACCTAAGTGGTTTACGGAGGTCAAGATAAGCATTAGTTTATACATCGTCTGGGCAGTGGTGGAATCCACGGATCTTAGTTACTTATTACAAGTCACAAGGGCCAGGATGGAATTAGCTTGGGCTGCTTATTCTGGTCATTACCGGTAAGCAAAGGCCAGCAATTCGGGCAGTTACTGATAAGAAAAGGTAAGCAACTTTACATACCGGGCATTTTGCAGAGCAAGCTAGCAGTTTTATTAACAGAAGCCAAGGCCAGCAGTTATTGTGAGGAGAATGGGGCAGCCGTTACAACTTATTTCTGAAAAACAGCTTTGTCTTGTATAAAATGGTGTTGTTCAGGCTCTAACTCTAGACCAGCTATAGCACAAATGATTCAAGAATAATTTGGGCATTTCAAAATTAAATAATTATAATAAATAGAGACGATTCAAGATGGCCGACCACTAACAGCTCAGGATTGTAGCTCCCAGTGAAAGCTCAGAGAACGAGACGACGCCACATCTTTAGACGAATTTTCGTCACTCACCGATTAGCCGATTCCCAGTGGAGGAGCCCCACGGGTCGCCAGCGTGACTCTTGTGGCCGCCGCAGCGGTTTTGCCGGCGTCTCAGCGCAGCAGCTCTTCACGCAGAGCCAACGGGACTGCTTCCCCTACTGACCAGAGTTTGGAGCTCGGGGAAGTCAGAGCCGCTTGTTGCGGACTCGAGAGGGAAGCCAGACCAGAGATTCCCGGGCAGAAGAGCACCATCAGTCTTACTGCTGCTATTTAGGCTGCCACAGTGGGTGGCTTGGATCCCAGCACTGGGAATCAGTAAGTCGGACGTTGACTCAGAAAACTAATTAGAAAGGCAGTTCATCTATAATGAAGGGAAAAAAACAGCCTAAGAAGGCCGAGTATACTCAAAATCAGAACCCATCAGCAACGGAACAAGCCCTGATGGAAAAGGACTCATCAGCAACCGAACAAGCCCTGATGGAAAAGGACTCATCAGTAACAGAACAAGCCCTGACGGAAAAGGACTGTGTTCCATTATCTGAAGTAGGCTTTAAAAGGTGGATGATAAGAAACTTCTGGGAGTTAAAGGAACTTGTTCTAACCCAATGTAAAGAAACTAAGAACTTGGAAAAAAGGTTCGATGAAATGTTGAAAAGAATAGACAATATAGAGAGGAATACAAATGAACTTATGGAGTTGAAAAATACAACACGAGAACTCAGTGAAATATGTACAAGCTTAAACAGCCGAATGGATCAAGCAGAAGAAAGGGTATTAGAGGTCGAAGACCAACTTAATGAAACAAAACGACAAGACAAGAATAGAGAAAAAAGGATAAAAAGGAATGAGCAAAGTCTCCAAGAAATATGGGACTATGTGAAAAGACCTAATATACGCTTGATTGGTGTACCTGAATGTGACGGAGAGAATGAAGTCAAGCTGGAAAATACTCTCCAGGACATTATCCAGGAAAATTTTCCTAATTTAGCAAAGCAGAACACTATTCAACCCCAGGCAATACAGAGAACACCACAAAGATATTCCTCAAGAAGACCAACCCCAAGGCACATAATCGTTAGATTCACCAAGATCGAAACAAAGGAGAAAATATTAAGGGCAGCCAGAGAGAAAGATCAAGTTACCCATAAAGGTAAGCCTATTAGGCTTACAGCAGATCTCTCAACGGAAACCCTACAAGCTAGAAGAGAGTGGGGGCCAATATTCAATATACTTAAAGAACAAAACTTTCAGCCCAGAATTTCATATCCTGCCAATTTAAGCTTTACATTTGAAGGAAAAATAAAATCTTTTAGGAACAAGCAAGTACTCAGAGATTTTATTACCACCAGGCCTGCTTTACAAGAACTTCTAAAAGAAGCATTATACACAGAAAGGAACAACCAGTATGATCCTTTCTAAAAATACACCAAAAAGTAAAGAGCATTAACATAAAGAAGAATTTTTATCAACAAAAGGACAAAATAGCCAGTTAATATCAAATGGCAGCAACCCTAAAGTTAAATCAACCAAATCTCCCAATCAAAAGATACAGACAAAATCCAACGGTATATCCAAAGATATACATAGACTCAAAATAAAGGGTTGGAAAAAAAAAAAAAAAGTACCAACCTAATGGAGAGCAAAAATAAATAAATAAAAAGCAGGAGTTGCAATTTTCACATTTGACAAAATAGATTTCAAAGCTATAAGGATACAAGGGTAAAAGGATTAATGTAACAATAAGAGATCTTAACACCCAGATACATAAGACACATAGTGAGATTTAGATTCAACGAGACAACAAATTGATAACGATATCCAGGATTTGAACTCAGAGCCAGAACAAATAAACACAATAGAGGTCTCCATTTTAAACACATAAAATATGCATTAACCACTTTAAACACTCAAAATATTGATCGGCCATTATTGAAACCCATTTTAGGAATGAAGTAATATTCCTTTTTCCCTCTTTTTCTTTTTTTCCCCTTCTTTTTCTCTAAAAAAAAAAAAAAATTATAATAAATAATGAGCCTTTATTATAACGTTTTCCCCAAACCCAGTACCCATCAATAATGCATTTCCTTCATCTGGCAGCCCCGTATCCCTCCTGAATAGTTTGTGAAAGGACAAAGGTAATCTGACAAGAAGCTCCCTAAAAGTGCATCTTTAAATATCATCCTTTGTGATACTGTAACTGTTATGGGGTTTCCTGGTCAGATTCTTCAGTGCCTTGTTGGGAAAAATTCCTCTGTTTCAGAGTCATTTAAAAAGAAATAAGGAAAATTATTTTTAAAATAGGCTTTCCCTTTTTTTCTTCTGGTTATAAATTGGTATAAGAACTCTAGAATTTTGAGGAGCAACTGCCTTTGCCTCTTTAATGTGCTGATAAAAAATGTGACCAAGGATAAAGCTCCTTATAATACATCATTCTCTTACTACTTTTTTCTTGCTTATCATTCATCTTTTAATGGTGAGAGATTGAATCACTTTAGAGTAGGGGTGTTTTCCTCCAAAACAGATGACTCACAAAGCAAGCCACTAGGAGTAGAAGAAAATGATAATCCAGGAGGGGCTGCAGGTAGCCTTTTTCCTTTCACCTGGCTTCTGGCCTCTTGCCCTTTGGGAATGCCTGTGGCTGCCAGGGCAGTATAAACAACTTGGAGATGGACCAGACAAGATTTAATGATGGTCAGTTGTAATGGATCCATTATGGAACTGAGCACTTTATTTGCTATTTACTAAGTACATTGCTATTCATATAGTGTTGGACCACTTTATAGGATGAGAGGTCTTGAGCTAATTTCATATTTGTATGTTTTATTTCCCTAATAACGAATATTCCTCCATAGCCATTAGTGCAGCTAGAAGGGAATCCTAATGCAATCACTTAAAAAAAAAAAAACTCTTTAGGGGACTAACACAAGTATTTCAAACTCAGAAGAGTAGAGTTTTGAGGTGCTTTCAAAATGGTCGAATGAGGGTAGTATTTTGATAGTAGGAGAGGTCATTTTTTGGTAATAACAGATTTAGTATTTTATTCACTCACTAATAAGAATTTATGTTTACTTAAAATAAAAGTTAGATGTTACACAGAATTTGTTTGGTATTATATTCTATTCCAATTTGTGCCTCCAACTGCTGTAGATACATATCTAAGCAGGCATTCTTTTACATAAAATGCCTGTGATAAATACCATTTGCAGTAAAAGTCCTATAGGGCAATGCTTATGAATCTTCTAGAGATCATGTTAAAAATGCAGATTCTGATTCTGGGCAGGGCCCAAGTTCTGAATTAATAACAAGCTCCCAGGTGATATAGATGTTTCCGAACCCAGAACTACACCATGTGTGGGAAGCGTAGGCCATTTCACTTGCAGAATGTTTTATCTAAACTATGAAAGCCGATCATGAACAGGTACTAAAATTACAAAGCAATGCCTTAACTTTAGCTGAAGACACGAGCAAAGCAAATGGATAGAATTTTGTTAAACAGTTGACTCCTTTAGACAGTTTTTGGATTTCCTTGGGAATGGGGAGAACTATTCCATTTTCATTTTACTGTAAAGGCAGGTGCAACATAAAAACCTAGGAGGTGATGGCACAAGTGGGCATCCCTTTCATTTCAGAAGACTATATGCCTGGCCCATCTTGCAATTAATTGAGCAGCACAGTAACCAATATCAGCAGAATTTGGGAGACAGAATGTTGGCATGTACCAAGAATACATGAGCTTGATCAGTTTAACTTTCTATATGTAAAAATTCTAAACTAGTAACATCACGTCTCCAGCTGCTGTTGCATTTCAGCCTGCCTTTGTTTTCACCAAGTGTGAGTGCAGCACAATGCTACAGAAATGAGGGCATAAGAAAAACATCAGATTTATTATTCATAGCAACAGCTCCAAGTCCAGACAGCTCCAAAGTAAATCTGAGCAAGGGCTTGCTGTGACTTTGTGACCAAAGACTTAATGTTCTCATATTATTAGTGGGCTCTGGCACTTTATCAAACCTGTGATATTGACTAACTACCAGTAATTGCTGATTTATGAGCAAAGTTTTCTCAGCCTTGTTTTCTTCAGGACCTTCACCTTCTGAAAACACGTTGAATCAGTAAGTTCACATTCTCTTTGAGCTTTGCTGTTTTTATATTTAAATAGAGGACATCTTGCTCTTTTACCTGTTGCTGTCAATAAGACCTTGTAATACCTTACTTGCCATAAGTTATCTGTTTAAAAAAAAAAACCATGCTTCTGTGCATTCACAGAGGGTAATTAATTAGAATAAGGCATTTGAGGAATAAATTTTTATTGTTCTATAATTTTCAAAATCTCCATACTTAAGTACAATAAAATAATTATACAACTAAGATGGATTTCTAAAGAGCATCTAGTCCTTGGTGACAAATAGGTTTCACTTTCAGTGTCATAGGAAAGAGAAATGTAAGTAGATGTGCCTTTTATTTTCTAATCCAGATTTAATACCAACCATAACTTCTAGTCCGTCTTCTTTTTTTCTTTTCTCTTTTCTTTCCTTTCCTTTTCTTTTCCCCATTATTTGGCACCCTCTACATAGATACAAGTATCAACCAGGCACCAAAATTAAATCTGTGGAAGGATTATACCAAGAGCCTAGGACACCTCTACCAACTTCACCTTACCTTCAAACTTCTCCTACCTCTTGTTTTATCATTAACCAGCACCAGAGGCTCCCCAGAACACATCCTTGGCAACTGTTCTCCAGCATATTCACAGGGACATGTATTGCCCTTGGGTGCTTTGTGACTCATTTCACACTCATGAATGACCATGTTACAGCAAACTTAAACCATACTCTAGAATGTTTGTTGCCAAGCGACAGCTCATAATAGTTGGACACATAGCTGTGTCTCAGATTCTCATCTATATCCTTTTCCAGGAAAACTCTTCTCAGGTGTCTCCTCCATCACTTTTCACCCTTATTAGCATTAGGAGGGAAGCAGAGGTTGGTGACAGCATCATCTGGGACCTTACAATAACTTGGAACTGTCCAAGCATAAACACATATTTTTCCTACTTATTTCTGGATTCAGGAGAGTGCTAATTGCAGCCAAGATGTCCAGAGCTGATTTAGGTCTCTCTCTGGCAGTGTGACCTTGGCTGAATTACTTCACCTTTTTGGTATTTTGTCAAGTGTGGATAACAGTATGTGCTCTTAAATGTGGTTAATCAAAGAAAATATGCAAAAGAACTATGCTCTCTCCACAGTAAAAGTTCTAGTCTATATCAACACAAGAGATTATTAAGACACTGATATTTTCAGGCTTAGTTAAGTGTAATTCAATTTTTCACATTAAATGTACATGTTCAGTGATTCTGTTATTGGTGGGCTGATTCTTGATATGTTAATGAAGACCAATGTATAGTTTTCTTGATTAACTCACGACTTGGAACTTCTTACTTCAAGCAACAAACAAGATTCAGCTATTAAAAAGCATTGCATCCAATATATCAATTATTCATCTTAGGAATTAGTGTAAAGTTAGCACAGATCCCTGTTTATAGAAAGAGATGGTTCTGTTAATTGGAATGCTGTAGCTGAAAAAAAATCTCAAATATCAAAAAATTGATATTAATATCTTTGAATGGAAGATGTATATTATATTGTTAGTAAGATATAATTCAATGTGTACTTGTTCTAAATAATTATTTTACATGATTTATCTCACTTCCAAAATAGACACTATTCCATGTATCTAGCAAATATTTTGAGATGGCAAAATGCTAATACATTTTTAAAATTAAAGTAGGAGCTAAAGTATTGAAATTTCTGTCTTACTCTTTCTTATAATATTTGCTATCACGTTTGATGTTTTGAATTTTTATATTCAGCTGCTATAAGGGTTTATTAATTTGTAATCAGACCTGAATAATTAGTATAAACTTCCACTTACTATCCAGATTAAACACCAGATGTGTGTCATAACTTGCCATCATTCAAATTCCTTGGTTTTCCCAGATAGGACCTGTAGACCCTTTTCAGATTTATACACAAATTAAGTTCAAACAGTGGGCACAATAAGTCATAGAAGTGCTGAAGGAAATGAGATATCAATTTATATCATATGAAATATACATGTGTACACACACACAAATACACAAACACACATCCCTAGTCTCAAGTCAAGGCCTCTCATTGGTTTAAATTACCTAAAGATTATCATAATTTATAACATATAAACCTTATTATAATATTATAACCTTATTATAATATTTTATCATTCCTTTTCATCTAGATATTTAACTCAAATTTAACTCAACAAATTTGTATTGATGATTTATTATGTGAAAGGCACTATGCTAAATGTTGAGGGAGAAATAAAGACTAACAAGGACCTCACTATCAAGCCAAGGACATAATCCAGGTGTATAAGTAACCCACAAGAAGAGGGTTTAAAAGTATCATGAATAAAATTCTATGGCAGCATAAAATAAGATTGCCACTAGGACAACCTCCTTGAAGGAGATGGCATATTGAACTGAGCTAAAAAATATATAAGTACAATTTCTAGGATTTCCCAACAAAGGCAGATGCATGAACAAAAGCATGCAGAGGTGCTATGGTTTGAATTTTGTCCCCTCCAAAAACTCATGTTGAAATATAATTGCTATTGTAATTAGTATTAGGAGGTGAGACTCTTAAGAGGTGATTAGACCATGAGGACTCGACCCTTATGGATGGAATTGGTACCATTATCACAGGATGACTTCAGCCCTCTCTTGTCCCTTCTTCCTTCCATCGTAAGATGACATAGCAAGAAGGCCCTCACCAGATGCTAGCACCTTGATATTGGACTTCTCAGCCTCCAGAGCTGTGAGCCAATAAATTTCTCTTCCTTATATATTACCCAGTCTTAGGTATTCTACTGTAGTAGCAGCAAAAAACAGACTAAGACAAATGGAGAGAAAGGCTAGAAGTATTTTGGGATTGGTGATGATTATGGAGGGATTACGAAAAAAACAGTAAAGCATCTTTTACCTCAAAGTGTTCTATCCAAAATTTCACCTGCTTTCATCAATACTGTGAAAATAGTTTTTGAATACAGATTGGTATGTGAAGAAATTCTAAACAGAAAGTGATTTTCTAAGAAGCACATACACAATATTTTTACTTCTTTAAACTGCCCAAAAGAACCAAAGATTGCATTCACTAATATTGTCAACATTCACTGGGAGTCTACAGAGTACCGAAAGAAATGGAAAAGCAAGTCATCTGGCACTGCTATGCTGGTAACCATCTGACAAGCTTAGTATACAGAGAAGATGGCTGGGAAGGCATAAGAGGCCACTAGGGTGGCCTCTGAGCTGAGAATGCACATGCAGGCACTAGGCATCACTTTGTACTCCAGTTGAAACCCACTAGGGAGAGGGAGTGGCAGTTTTAGATTTAAAAAAAAAAAAATAGAAAATAATCCTAAAATGGAGTGGCCTCTCTGAATTACCTTAAGTAATTGAATTAGTACCATAATTCATTCAATTATTCAGGCCATGGGTGATCTGTAAACCAATCTAAACGTTTCTTCTCCCCTTACTACTCACATGCAATTGGTCTCTAAGTCTCGCCCTTATGCCTTTTAAATATTATTTGGATATGACTCTTCTGACCTCTAACTTATTTCCCTTCTGTTATGACTGGTATCACTGCCTTCATGCTTTCTCCTTTCTAATCTGTGCCTCACATTGCTGTCAGAGTTGTATTTATAAAATGCAAAATGGGTTGGTGCAAAAGTAATTGCAAAACCACAATTCCTTTTGCACCAACCTAATACACAAATGGTAAAACTCTTCAATAGCCTCCCACTATCTACAAGACCTGGCCCCAAATTCTATATATGGTATATGATATGCATGACATAGGTTCTCTGCTCCCTGCCTCTGTCTCTAGATTCACTTCTACTTCATCATCCTGTGATCAGCCATATAGAATTATGAAAATAAACTCATCCTCCAGAATTTACCATTCAATAACTTTGCACGATGAAAATTCTCAAGGCAGATCTTCACTGGATTAACAATGAGTACCTCTGTGTGCCTCAAGGTATCTTTTAAGCAAAAGAAAAAAAGTTAAAAAAAAAAACCCTCAATCCAAACCTTCTAAATTCATTTTGAAAAAGCTTACCTAGTGTAATTCCACAGAGAAAAATCCTTCAAATGTAGTATTTGCAATATTTGAAATTTATATTTTATTCTAAATATTTATGTATTTATAAATATTTGTTTTAGTTAACAAGTATATTTTGTATTTTCCTTGCATTTGCTTCTATGATTAACATTGGTATTTTTATATTATGAACAGAACCAGAACTCTAATTTGTAAGATTGCATAAATAGGATAAAAAGAACTTGCCTAAGCATGACTTGACTTCTAACTATTGTACAAGAACCAATTATGCTGTCAGAAATGCCCTATACACAAAGTTAGAAAGGAAAAGGGAACCAAGAGACTATTAAAAGAACTCCAAGAAAATACTTTGCACAACTCTATATTAATAAAATCTTAAGGAAATGAACAGTAGTCTAAGAAAATATAAATTACCAAAATTGGCCCTTGAAGAGGTAGAAAACCTAAATAAATCAATTTTCATGGAAAAAATAAAGTTGTCACAGAACTACTCCTCAGAAATGTGCAGGACCCAGATGGTTTTACAGATGAATTATTTCAAACTTTCCAGGAACAAATTGTTTCTATGCTATATAAACTGGTCCAGAACATAGATAAAGAAAGAAACTCTCTCTATTCTTTATATGAAGTCAGCATCCATCTAACAAAGAAAGCACAAACTTCAGAACAATCACCCTTAAAAGAACTGACTCAAAACTCCTAAACAAAAGATACACTTAATTACTTTAAATATTTTTAAATGCTAGAGAATGACCTCGTAAACTAATTTCAGAAATGCAAGGTTAATTTGATAGTAGAAAATTTATTAATAGATCAAAAGAGAAAAATCACATAATCATTCTGTGACACACACAAAAAAACGTTTATTTTGATAAACAAACTAGGATAATGCATGCATATTCTATGTTTGGTGTAACTATCATCTACTTTTAAAATGGGTAGGAAGTGGTTAAACAATAACACCCTGAGACTCCACAAAGCATCATAAACTTTATACATTCTGTATAGTGGAGGAATTTGTTTTGGTCTAATTCTATCTATTTCTTTCTCTCAGAAATGGAGAATGGGTTGCAAAGTGCTTCGCACAGCACTTCTCTGGAGCAGAGAGGGTACAGAATACAGGGAGACAAGGTAAGGAGCAGAGAACACTGCACAGGTATAAAAACTCCACTCCTAGGAAAACAAGCAGTGACAGCAGGCATTTTGCTGAACATGTCGTCAGGGAGAAATACAGCTGATAAAAAGCAAATACTGATAGAAAGGCTGCCCATGCTCCGGAACTGACAATAACAGCTCTGGAATGAAGAGGTGATCTCATAGCATAGAGACTACAGAGAACCTGAACAGTGTGGGACTCAGAAAAAAAAAAAATCAATAAGCCAGTTCAATACAAGAAGAGCAGTCAACTAGAATAGGACAGAAACCATTACCTTAGCCACACCTGGAATCACACTGGGTACCCACTGTAGTTTTGAATATTTATTTATAGTTAAGCTCATTGTACAACCTGTAGAGTAAGGAAGGAGGAGTGTGCTAGTCATGTTACAAAAGTCTATGAAGACCTAAAGGCCTGTAGGATATACAGCCACTTTTTAGGGAGAGTCTGTTAAGTGTGTTTTATCCCCCTTCAAAAGCTGGCATGAGATATGCCTTCAGTTTCAAGTAAAACAACTCTGCCACTTTAGCAACTGCAGATTGGAGAAGAGCTTGATACATGAAGCAAAAGCAACTTAATGGTGGAGCCAAACCCTGTTGAAATGAGGCATTCCTTCTTGACTGGTGGCAAATCCACACAATCGTTTCTTATGAGAACAAAGATGTCC